ATGTAATGTCGATTTTTCTCTCCCTCAAGTATAAAGTTAACTTCCATCCCCCCACCCTTTCTCCTCGAATGTTCGAGTTCCCGATGACGATCGCGTCGCTATTGGCCAAAGGTGATGGCGTCTTACACTAATTCTGGCCAATAAGCTCCAGCTGATTCTGGAAATGTTCCATCCTCTGTTTCTGTCGCCGCGTGTCTTTCTCTACCGTCTGGAAAGTAGGCCACGTTTCTGAAGGGGCTTTCCGGCTACTGAATTATTATCTTGTGCTTCCCCAATCACGGTGACAGGCGTTTCGAAAACGTTCCGGACGGGGACGCAGCGGAGCGCCTAACAACTCACCCTTTCTTCGGCCGTCGGGGACCATAAACTGCTGAAGTGGGTCAGGGGGCTCGCGGCTGTTGCAAGAAGGGGGTGTGTGCGCGTGACTCTGTAGGTCCTTCCTCAGAAAATATCCTTTCTTAAATTCTACATTATTCTTATTTAATTTATTTAAATAATTCGGTACCGCTACAATACCTTAGTGGACAGGGCCTTGAAATTGTCTCATCATGATCATGATCCTAATTTAGCAATAGTGACAGTCATTCTGACTGAAAAAATGTATCCAATGAATTGTATTAATAAATATATAAAAAAGAGGAGAGCCAGCTTGTTAGAGAAAACAAATAGCTTTTCTGAACAAAGAGAACTCAAGGACAACAAACATATCATCTTACCTTATATACCAAATATCACTAACAAAATAAAAAATAACCTAGTACGAGCCAACTATAATGCAGATACTATACACATAATTACAAATAAAAGAAGTCTTACACCTAATATAAAAGACAAAATTAAAAAATTAGAAGTGGAAAACGTAGTTAACGGCATTTGATGTTAAGGTTGTGAAAAGTCCAATATAAAGTATCCACACATTTTAAGGCTAAATGTATCGACACTAGTTCAATTTGTCGCCACCAAGTAGCAGCACCAAAATAAGCCAAAATACTTTACTCATAACTTCTGAACAAGTGGTCCGAATTTCAATCAATAAACGACGTATGATTTGTATTTAATATAAGTTTTACGCTACGAAACCATTTTAGAAAAAAATGAAAAATGAGTTTTGGAATTTTTTTGGAATAATTCTGGGAATAAATTCAAAAATATAGGCTTATGTCGCAATGGCGAAATGCTTCCTGAATACAACGCCATATCAGTCATCCAAATTAGCCTAATAGGCGGGTCGTAAAGTGAAATTTGGCAAAATACAATGCCCCCTTCCTCATGTAGCGATAGCCCTCCAAGAGTTAACGCATGAAATACTCCTAAACCAATCATGTTTAATAGTAAACAAATACGTTTCTTTAATTGTGGCTAAATTTAATATATTCATAATAATAATAATAATAATAATAATAATAATAATAATAATAATAATAATAATAATAAATAATGTATTTATTGTTTCAGGTATAACTAAAAAACCTTAGTGGCTTTCTCTAATGACGAGTAGTCATAATCTTATTATTGATGTGATAGAAAGGGAAACTGTAAATAGTGTACAGCCTACGGTATTCAAATGCTTCGTGTTTACATTTTGACCACACTAAGGATTTTTGTAAGTTTTATCAGTTCATAGGCAGTGGTTTGGTCAATTTCCAAAAGTGCGTGTGGATTTCAATGAAAAACAAACAAACAAACAAAACAATCATAGATATTGACTCAAAGAGAAAATATAGTTACATTCATGTGATGAGTTAAATTTTTGACTTATAGCAGATAATATAATTTTGTTATAAAGTATTATTTGGTTTTCAAGAGGTGTAACAACGTCATTTTCTTGAAAGTGTGCAAATAAAATTTATAGAATTAGTGTCACGAAGTATATAAATAATATATTGTGTTGCTGGATTGCATTTATTCTTTTAAACTAATAATTTTCTAAAAATTAAAATTTAGAATAATTTTCCTTGATTTTATGAAGAAACCAAGATATATTTGAGTTATTATGACTAGTAATATATGTTAATGGGATTCTACAGGTTTCCAAACAGATATTTCTTGATTTTTTTTAACTGAAGTATTTTACTTAACTTTAAACTAATTTTTCTACCAACTTACTGTACCGCTTAACTTAGACAATTCCGCCGCAAAAAGCCAGAGCAGTCTATCGTATAATCTTATGAAGAATTAAGACGAAGGTATTTTGTTTTCTTTGTTGCATTCACATGACATTAAAAATTGCATTTTGATAAGGAGAAAGAACCAAACTTACTAATGAAAGTCGAAAAAAGTTATTTATGATACGAGTAGTAAAAATTACATTTTATTTGTCTGTAAATTCCCCTGTGACAGTGCTGCAACCTATTGCATTTTCCTACAAGTATTTTTCGGTATATTTAGTCTAAAAGAAAGTTTTTAAAAATCGTAGCGCCTTGTGTCGAACCACATCCACCACAGAATATCTATTTTGAAAAAAATCCTTCGTGTGGTTAAGGCGCAAGTCATGTTCACAGACGAATAGACCGACGCGTCGGTCGCGACGGACGGATTGACGTTCTTTATTTTAATCGAAGGTATTCATTTGCTTCGATTCTGGCCTTTTGGATTCGATTCCATCAAGAATCGGAAGCAAAGAAATCGAATACCGATTCCTAGGGAATCGTAAGAAAATAATCGATTTGGGAATCGAATCAATGGAATCGGAACGTCCCTACAGCTAGGGAATGTTTTTTAAATCTGACCCTGAACCTGTGTTGACTTTTTGAAACGAAATGATTGAGATAGTGCACATTGGAGTCAAACAAGCAAGTCATATCTTACAGAACCTCATCTTAAAAGTTTGACGGATATCAATCGGTGTGTGGGTATCAATCAACATGACTAGTGGAAACGAGCAACAAGAACACTTGTCCCCCATGCTATACGGACAGGGTACCGGCAATGATGTACCAGATATAAAACAATTAGAGACTCCCGAAGTGAGGGACGAATTACTTAGAGGTCACTTATTATAATTATCATACTGTAGATCTCAATATTGTTTGAGTAGTCCGTGTTTAAAATTTTAACTCATTTTTCAGATATCGGCGGGCGCGATGCAGAAGATGGGAATTTATGCTATGGTACACCACAATTGGGGAGTGCGAACAAATTACAAAATGACAGGCGAGTATTATAATAATTAATGCATTCGGCAATATTTATTAGCATTTCACATTGTTTATTTCTAAGACTTTTGTTTTTATTACAGGTGTTCACGTCTTAGTAAATGGTTTTCTGTACATTTAGCTCCTGAAGCCTTATGCCACACTCCTAATTTTCCATTGACAGTTTTTAGTATTTTTACAATATTACTTCTTCTTTGGGGAACGGCGTATACCCTATTTCAAGACCATGTTGCTCCGTCATCAAGTCTCTTTATCCTTTTTTCTCTCTTCATTTTGGCATATATTGCAGGTCGACTTATTTTCTTTTTGAAACTACCCCCTTTGTTAGGCATGCTCTTGGTTGGCATTATAATAGGCAACGTAAATATCTTCAATATGGAAGGTTGGTACAAAACTGCTGTATCAACATTGAGGTAAAATAGTACTTTATTTTTGAGTTTTCTTGAATATACTGTATGATATTACTCTTTGGGTTTTTACATGCAGTATTGTATTAATTCCACTGTAGAGCACTGCAATGTAATAATTCTCATCAAAGCGGGCTTGATGCTGGAGCATTACAAAGATTAAGTTTTGTTGTCATTAGATTGGCTTTTGTTCCATGCTTAGTTGAAGCATCAGTAGTGGCATGTGTGTCTCATTTTCTTCTGGATTTACCATGGCTGTGGGGTGCGTTGCTGGGGTGAGTAAAAATACTAGAGGTTAACAAGTTTACCAATCATCTCACCTCTTTTTTGGTGGGATCTCTCTCATGTTTCCTTTGGTTTGTTTTTTAGGGCCTATTTAGATAGGTAGATTGATTCTATTCTCTTTGCCATTTCATGTTAGTTTTTATCAAGTCTTGAATGATGTTCTTATTTTTAATTACTTTCTTATTTCTTTATTTCTTATTTTTTCTCTAGTTACCTTTAATATTGGTCTTACATTGGTGCCTGTTTTGGACTCCTTAACTTAACCAATAAAATTAAGTATTAAAATCGAAATGCTTCATGCACTCAGCTATTAAATATAATTTTATTTGTGAAGTTGACTGTTAATTGGACCTGCATTTAAACTTCAGTTACCAGTGACATGTGGTCTGTGAGACCGTGGATGTTTTAGACAGATTATTTTTGATTCATATAAAATTGACAAATTTTTTTATCTCTAACTGTGCTATAATGAAGAAGGAAAGAAAAAGTGTAATTAATATGTAAAATGAAAATAATATAACTATTTTTTTTATTTGCCGAGTAAATTTCTGTTTATTGTTTGAGTCATACTTTTTTTCACATTTAATTATCTAAGTATGTAAAGAAGGAGTTTGAAACTTTATTCACTACATTAAAAAAAAAAAAAAATATTTACGTACAAAAATGTTTTGTTACATGAAAATTGTCCCTTAATAAAAAAAAATGCATTGCATTCAACAGTTTTATTGAGGATTTGTGTGTTTCTGGGATTTTGTGCATATGCTAAATATAAAACCTTACGGGAGGAATTTGGGAAAAATATGTTGAGTGTGTGCCCAGTCAGCATGATCAGTATGGGCTTTGTGTAAAGTTAAATGAGACATTATTTACTCAGGGATAATTAAGTTCATTTTGTGTAATGTCCTGTTCTTGTGCCATACATATCCCCAGTAATTAAAACTGGACACTTGCTATACAGTCTTCCCATTCAATACTATTTTTGAACTGACAGGATATTTTCCATGAAAAGCCATCACTTTAGTTTTATTAGTAGATATTTTAAGATCATAATCTTTACATGCATTTTGCAATATATGCATCCCTCTTTGTAGCATGTCTCCAGTTTGCTGAATCATTACCGCATCATCTGCATATGCAAGAAGGGTGAGTTTCATTTGGGCAGGGTTTAGTAGAATTCCTGCGTTAAAAACTTCCCTTCATTTGTGAAAAATGTCGTCAAGATGCAAAATAAACAATGTTAGAGAAATCTGTCTAACTTCTTTATTTGTTTTAATTTCTTTTGTGAACTTTTTGCCGGTATCAATAACAACTGTCGTGCCTTGGTACAGACTTTTGATAATCTTAATAAGAAGAAAAGGTAAACTACTTCTACTAAGTATGCTCCATAACTTCACCCAATTTATACTGTTGAAAGCTTTTTCAAAATAATTAAATGCCATCTTGAGTTTTTACATTAAATTCACTTTGTTTTTCCACAATCTGTTTGATAGTAAATATGGTATCTATCATGTTCATTTAATCTTTGCCTATTATGCAATCTGCAATTATTTTCAGCCTTTGATTAAGTATTCTCGCATATATCGTATTCATGCTATCCAACAAGCTGATGTGTGTATAATTCTCACAGTTTTCTCTGTTACCTTTCTTAAATATTGGGATTACTTTCGACTTTAACTAGTTTTGTGGTATTTTATCCTGTTTGCAGCACTAGTTTGTGTCATGTGTATGCCTAAATTTACAATCCATGTTTCAGATTTGTTCTTGGTGCAGTCTCTCCAGCTGTTGTTGTTCCATCATTACTGGCTCTGAAAGATCAGGGATATGGTGAAGATAAAGGAATAGCAACACTTGTGATTGCAGCCTCAAGTATTGATGATATTTTGGCTATCTCAGGATTTGGTGTTATTCTTAGCACCATTTTTTCAGAGGGTAAGTATTTATAACACAATTTCCTGCGCTCTCAAGATGATATAAAGTTTTTGCAACTGAATCAAGATAGAAATTTAGGGTTTTTTGCATGTTTTTTATTACTTATGGTTCAAGGAAATGCCGCTAAATAAACTTTTTTGGATGGGATACATCCATAAAAAATGAAAAGCCTAATGAAAAGTCGCAATAAAATGAAGTGCTTTTGGAATGCCATCTGATAGTAGTTTGGCAAGATTGTTTGGCAAAATTGTTGCCTTGGCAGTTTGAAGTGACCGGAGGGATGGCAATTGCTCTTGCACGTTTGTGCAGGAAGTTGACACCTCACACATGCTTTGGCTATTTGGGGGACTTTATTATAATTATTAAAATTAACTGACATACAATGTATATTTGGAAGAAATCATCATTGTTTAAGAGGCTGCATTCAGTCTACTTGCTGACTCTCAATGCACAAATCATCACTGCCCAGAGTAATATGACTTTGTGATAACCTTGCATGGCTTTGAGCAGTGGTATCTGGCTGAGGGGTTATGTTTTCAGTACTGGGCAGGGAGATGCATGAACAGAAGCCATGTCCGTACACCTTCTCATGCTGAGAGTCAGGAGGGAGGGAATTCCCCTATGGCCTTGGCCTTGAAAGACAACTAATCCCAAGATTGAATTCTTTGCTGAGAGCTCAAGCCCCTCTTCTCCAATGTTCGGCTACTTGGGGGCTACTCTACTTCAATGTTTGGCTAACATAACTAAATCATGTGTCATAGGGATATATAATTTAAAAAGGCTTGTGGATACATTCATTTCATGAAGAATATCTCTCATCTCTCTGCCAATTGCATTAAATTTATAGGAATTCCATTTTATAAAGGTATTTTTTTACCTGTTGGACATGAAAAAATGTTCTGTTTCTGCATTGGACAGGTTCGGTTTCATGCTGTTTAAAAACCCATCTAACTTTCAGTTAAGGCAGGTTTCCGACTTGTACAGGTTCCAGTTTGGACAGATTTGAGTGTATAATGAATTATTAATATGAGAGTTTGATTTTGTTCTGTCATTCATTCTGGGTTACCCCTAGTCTAATATCTTTCTGCTCACAGTTATTTCTGCTTGTAGTACAGACACAGTAGCTATGCTCTCATCTTCTTTCCCAAAATTCCTTGATTGAACTTCTCATTATACAACTGTTTCAGAGCTCTGTTGGCCCACTCTTGATCAGTCACATTTGTGGACATTTGAACAAATGATTTTGCCCTTATTGGAATTTATAATAAAACGTAAGGAAAGTTATCAGTATTTGGCTGAGTATATCTTGCTGTACTATCTGTACCGCAACTGGAACAAATCATTTTGGCATAGTCTGGGTTTTCTCTTCACCAAAGACCAGGAGAGCTGGCTCAGTGTCACTGCAGTGCCTCTAACCGAGAGGTCCTAGGTTCAAGTAATGACTGGCAAGAATTGCTAGCACACTAGCTTTTCAGTTAGGTCAGGTGAATCTCTGTCTGGAGGAGAATTTTAGAACCCGACTGCTCTGATCGGTAGTTTTCCGTGGCTTCCGTTGTTTTCTGGAAGCACTTATTAACAAAAAGGTGACTTCTCAGGAAATTAAAAGGAGAATAAGATTAGGCAAAGTAGCCATATCAAAACCGAAAAAATCATGGAAGACTCGAGACACCTGGAAAACACCAAAATTCAAATTGTCAAAATCGTGGTATTCTCGACAGTAATGTACATCTGCGGAACCTATGCAACCTGGACACTATGCAAAGAAGACAAGAGAAGATTTGATGCCTATGAGTTGTGGATATGGAGATGTCTGTTAAAGATTCCGTGGATGGCAAAGTGTACCAACAAATAAATTCTGGAGGAAATAAGCCAGGTCCCTCTATTGAAACAATAGCAACACAACAAACTGCAATATTTTGGACACCTCATGAGAAGACCAAAATCACTTGAAAAGGACTTAATGTTATGTTGTGTTATGTTATGGATCACAAAAGGCAGAAGAAGTTGTGGCAGGATTTGGATGTTTCATGAAATATTAAAGCATTGAACTGTGAATGGTCTGAAATCATGAGATTAACAGAAGACATGCAAAAATGGAGGAGCACAATAACAGCGGTGTTAGCGAATAGACCCAAGAGCAACATTTAAGAAGGGGGCAGCCTGTAACTGCTGCACATATACGCCAATAACCAGAGGTAATGCTTGACTTATGGACATGCTACTACTAATACCTGAATATCTATTCCTTAAAAAGACATCATAATAAAATACACCATAACCAGACTAAAGATTATTCACGGTTCTTTAGTTTCAAATGTAGTATAGCAAAATATTTTTTTTGTCATCAAATGAAATTCAAAACAAGCTGTTTCAAGTTGTTGAAATTCATCTGCAGTAACTTCAGTGACTGCAGTTTACTGATGTACATTTTACATCTTATATTATATCTGTGTACCAATTCAGTGTTAAATGATTATTGTATTAAAATATTATTAATATGGTGATCAAGAATGTTAAGTATGGACTTGTCGTGAGGTTGCCAGCACTAGCTATTGAGCACTGCCAATTGGGGCAGTGAGAAAGCAGAAGAGAAGGCGCTGTGAGGATGAGGGGACAGTTCAAGTTGAATGAGAGAAGAGTAAGATCGCTTGTAGATAACGCTAACTTAATTTGTGTGATGTAATTTTCTAGTGTTTGCGTTATGGCTGCGCAAGCGACCAGGCAGCGCGCACTCGAGACAGCGCCGCTGGCGTCAGCGGCTCGAGCTGATCTCGCTTCACATGAGCTCAGGTGGAGAGCGAATCTTCCCAAGGCGGCGCCCGGGTATTATTCGGGCCCGCAAGCGCCGCTGTGCAAGTCCACAGTAAGCAGTCAACCGCCGAGGAGACTACGGTCAGGAGTGTGTAGCGAGTCGGCACGGTTGCGTTTTACGAGCGCCCAGCGACCGTTCGGAGGCCGGCCTGCGGAAGGGGCTCGCCTGGAGGCTGCGGGATCGGCCGGAGAGAGGCGTCGCGAGCCCGCGTGAGCGGTAGCGAGGCCCACGCGCGAACCGAGCCGGGAAGTTCTCGTTAGGAGGTGACGTCTACCTAGTGCGGAAAAGTCGCCCGCCCAAACAACGTAGACTGCCCAAAGGGGGCCGTGGCCGGTGCAACAGCGGCCGTCGGGTACGGCCGCGAGAGGGAGTTCTGTAGCGGAAGGCCTCTGCTCGGTGACGAGGGACGAGTCGTGCCACGAAATCAGAGATTTATTCTTTCAGAACGATGTTTGGTGTTCATTTTCTGAATGTAAAGAAGTGATTAAAATAAAGGATTGTTAAAAGAAACAAATTTTAAGTAACAAAACATAACATTTTGTAACGTTATTAAATTAGTATTGGTTTGAAAAGTTGTTTAGTTTAATTCTAATTCACATTAATATATTAATATAATGTGGAGTATTATATGTAACAAAGTATTGAACAATTCTGGAGAAGATAAACATTTTATTTTCTAGGTGATGTGTTACAGCAGTTTTTACAAGGACCTCTAGAAGTTTGTATAGGCCTGTCTTTTGGAATTCTATGGGGAATAGTAGCTATTTACATTCCACACAGAAGTGAGGTTAGCATGCTGAATGTCTGTTGAATTGTTAACTGTTATCACTACATATGAAATATAATACTTTCTTTTGTCTTTCAGAGTTGGGTAGTGACAGGTAGAAGTTTAATGGTTGGCCTTGGAGGCTTGTTTGCAGTCTTTGGCAGTCAATTAGCAGGATATTCTGGTGCTGGTCCTTTAGCAAGCATTGTTATGGCTTTTGTTGCCTGTTATGGCTGGAAGAAGCAAGGATGGTCAGCCACCAACGTAAGGATTGTTTCCTCAGAAATCATTTTTAATAAAATATATGCATTGCCCAAATTCTAGAACTTTAATTCATTTCTTACAGTAAGAAATATTGTGTTAATCTCTTATAGAATCCTGTTGAATCGGTATTTACTTCAATGTGGCAAATTTTTCAACCTGTGCTCTTTGGTCTAATTGGCACAGCAATAAATTTATCAACTTTGGAAGGTCATGCAGTTATTTATGGAATTGCTACTCTGTGTGTTGGGCTTTCTGTAAGTAATCTTTGTGTTATTGTATATTTACAATCTTATTATTTTTTTACCCAAGGCGTGCTAAATGTGTGTCTTTGAAGACATGCAAATATTCCGGAGAGGGAAATGTGCACCTAATGAATAGAGGTACTCGATACAGCTAGGTCTTTCTTTGTTCACCTTTAATTCTATTAGTGTACCATAGCCTTGTCATTCCTTTATGAATTAGTAGTTTTTATTAAAAATTACAGTATCTAATGTGGAAGTTTTTGTAATACATTTAGAATTGTATTAATAAAGTACTGATGTTAACAGCACATCATCAGAATATCCGCTTACATATTTTAAACTTTTTTGAAGTAGGCTATATCTTGTAGGCTCTATACTAACATCTTAATCATTTTACATGCATTCAAAGATAAAAATATAGTTTTCTATTTTGCAAAAATATTAAGTATGTTAGAGGTTACATGTGCTCAGAAAACAAAAAAAGGAAATAATGCAATTATGAAGTTGGATGGAAGAACAGTTGAATCCGAGTTGAGCTGTTTTTCCATTTTGGCTTATGATATTCATTAGACTTTCATGTACATGAATAACTTTCTTGGAGGCGCAAGGGGCCGGGACAATAGAGCTCGAATACAAAGGACGTAGGACATTTCGACGCGCGCAGGAGAGGGCGTCTCCTTGGCCCAGCTTGAGGGGGGGGGGGGAGAGTGAGAACGGATTTATGACTAGAAAGACTGTGGCGACGAAACGCCAACCTATTGCTGTGGGAGTCTGCGTAGCCCTTTCGCACGACGCATCTGGCCCACTAAGCAATCAGGCCAAACAATCACAAACAACAGAACGACTACCGAAAATTGCAGCGATAAGCGTGAAAAAGAGCTCGGAGGCAGGAAAGGCTTCTGCGCTGCGTGCGCGGCAGGTTGTAAATCGCCCACTCTTAAGAAATCGTTCCACGACTCATTTAGACCCACGTACGTGCGACTTTCCACGAAGACGTTAGGGTACAAACAGTCGAATTCGATCTAATTCCACTCCACCTGTTAAAAGAAAGATTGGCGAGCTCACTTGTAGCGGCGCTAATGATTAGTGGAAAAATGGAAGTAGGAGGGATGATTTTCAGAAGACGGAGTGAGGAGAGAAGCGAAGGTGTTGGAACTCTGAGAATCGCGACCTTGGTGTTGGGGTTGAAGCACCGCCCGCTCCCTCTGCCTTGGTTCTGCGCGTCGAGAGGTTTGAGCGCTCGCTCCCTCCGCGCCGCGTAGAGCTGCGCTGCGCAGCTGCGAACTCGAACAGTGTTCACTCGCGTTTTAATCTTAATATTGCACGCCATGTGGTGCTTCCTCCCATAACAGCGCACATCTAAAAGAGCAAATAAACGTAAAGAGCAAAACTGTGCACAGCTGATTGGGTGGAGTTCGAGCGCCGCTGGCCGTAGGCGAAAGTGCGCGAGAAAAAAAAACCGAACCGCCGGTCCACGGACCCGGCCGTTTCTGATGCCGTCGGCCGCCCATCCGGACGACTCACGGAGAAACTGGCGGGACATAGCTCAACACCAGCACGCATCTGTCGCTCTTCTCCTTCCTTGGTCTCGCAGACGAAGAGGACACCTCATGCAGCGCTGAGGGCGCTACAGCAGACGCCGTAAACTCTCCAACTTAACGGTACGCCGACGGATGCGTCCAGATGCGGTGATAAATTGGCCCTCTTTTCCTTCTTCCTCTCTCTATGTCCCAAACACCCCAAAACTATCAGAAAGGCGCAATTGTGGCCAGTAGCTCAGTCCAAACTATGCCTCCTCCGGAGAACCCTCCGTCACCCGGGTCGCACACTCGTGAGCACGTTATGGCTAATGTCACCATCATAACGCGCCTCGACGACGGCTCCGACTCGGATCAGGAACCCGAAAAAGCCCCGTCAAAAGAGAGTTCCGCAGATGAAGGCCAGGTCCCACTCAACGCAGAATCACAGGAGCCCTTTGTACTACCTAAAAATTCTTTCGCGCTCCGAACAAAGCAACGGCAACTAATGCCACACTCCATATCGAATCGCTGCCCTAGACCCCCCGGCCCAAAGCAAGCCAGGGGAAATAGAGGTAGAAGAGAGAGACAAAGTCTCTGAAGCCTCAAATAACACCAATTACAAGGCAAAACCAAACACAAAGATGCCCAGGCAGACAAATCTCCTCAATTGGTAGTTTCTATATAGAAAAAGCCACTCTTCACGACCCAGTCGGCCTCACCAGCCATCTTAGTCTACTGCAAAAAGCTCCGTACGGGCAAATCAACGCACATGCACTAATCTTACGTCCCAGCAGCATCGAAGACCACAAGACCAGAGACGATATATTGAAAAAAAAAAAAAAAACAAAAACAAAAAAAACAACAACAACAAAAACTGACACAGAACTCTACTACTTCCAGAGCTACCGCGGAACGGCGCAAACGGCTCATCATTAGGGGCCCCGACGCCAACCTGAGCTGCGAGGAATTCTAAAACGAAATCCAAAATCACGGCATAACTGTCCACCTAAGCGAAATCAGGAGAAAAGTAGCTCCGAATACATTTAAGGCGTTGGGATTTATGCGCTTGAATCAACCAAACAACAAAACAACGAACTAAAGAGAATAAAGCACCTAATGTATTTAAAGATTAACTTGAAGAACGCGAGACAAGGAAGAATCCCACTCTGTCTAAATTGCTTGCGCTTGGGGCATACAAGAAGGGTGCCAGACGCCAGCAGTTGCATGGGCTGTGGCGGGTTTTCACAACTCTGCCCACTGCCCGATCCAAGACACTCCAGCCAAAATGTGCAATTGCACAGGAGCGCACCCCGCCAACTACCGGGAATGCAGTTTCCCACCTTGAAGCACTAAAGAGTTCGCAATTCAGCTAACTCGAAAGGCTTCGCGCCGCCCGCAGCAGCGGTAACGGCAACACACGACCGCCTGACCCAACGGCACAGCAGCGCACTAGCGCACTAACTTCCCTTCGCTTCGCAACCCCCAGCCGGCCGCGCCCCAGCATGGTGTGGCAAGCCCTCCAATCACGTCAGAGCCCCGCAGAACCTGCAGCAATCGTGATCAGCACGCTTCAGGCGCGTTTCCCTCTGAGCTAAAGGAGCTGAATTTGACCTGCAGTCGAAAGTTCACCCATCTCGAAATAATAACTGCTGCCAAAACAGCAATTAATATTCTGAAAAGCCTTAAGCGAGCTTACTAACCAAAGGGCTCTTATAGCCTTCCAACCAGTAGCCGAAATCTTTTGAATGGCCCACATTAGTCAAACGGGGCTATACAACATTCGCGTCCTGGAACGCTAATGGATCCAAGTTCTTAAAACGCTGATTGAAAAATTCTGCGACGATTATGGCATAGCCATCCTTTTACTTCAGGAGACACACCTCTCAAGCACCCGCACTTTCAATTTAAGAGGCTTCCACGTATACAGGAATGATAGGACTGCCAGGCAAGGTGGCGGAACGGCAATTGCTATTAGATGTACCCTCCCGCATACGAGACTAACCACGCCCCTATTAGCAAACTTAGAAGCGACAGTAATAGAAGTGGGAACGGCCACAGGTCCGATAAAATTTATATCCGTGTACAGAAGTCCAGCACAGCCTCTACTCACCGAAGACTTGGACGCAATCACGTCAAACTGCGCCACAGTTGTTATAGGCGGCGACTTAAATGCAAAAAGAATAGAATGGGGATGCCGAAATAACACAACAGCCGGCAACGTTCTCCACAACTATCTCGACTCCCATCCCTCATTAATCTTACACCCTCCCAAGGGACCCACCCGTCTCGTCAATCACATACCTCACGACATTCTCGACCTATTCATTCACTCCCACTCCATCCAACCAACAGTTCCGCGCCCGCTAAACGAACTTCATTCCGACTACCTCCCAATAATCTCGGCAATCTACAATGGAGCCTTCCCCTTCTCATTTAGTAAACAATTCTCTGCAATCACGGTCTGGAGGACATATCGCGATCATGTGGCCCGCAAGATACATGTCACTAACAGAACGCCCGAAACGCCCCACGAAATTGACGAAGCCATAGCCAAATTCGAATATCAGATCCGAACAGCGTACAACAAACACAAAATTCAACAAAAACACAGATGTGAACTTCTGCCACTTTATATAATAGCTTTAATTCAAGAACGACGCCGGGCGCAAAGACAGTTCTACTCCTCACGAGATGCTGTAGACAAAGCCATTTTCCAAACCACACGACGCGCAGTCGCACGTATTTTAACAGATTATAGAGGAGCACAATGGGACAAATTTATAGCAAAAGCGGAACTAAAGGATCGTAATGACTTATGGAAAATCCAAAAAACACTGAAAAATCCGTCAGCACCCATCAGTCAGACCCGGCCAGTTCAAGCAAAACCTACGACCCAGCGCGCAAAGCAGAAATCTTTGCCATGGTACTGCAAAAACGGTTCACGCCAATCCCTACGAACTCCTACTCCATAAGAAACGGCTTCTACCACCCCGTGACGCACACACTGCCCCAAACGTACGACGACTGCCTACTTACGGACCACGGCGGAAGACAGACAAACAGAAGAAGAACTTCGCGAAAAATTCAAACTTCTGAGTGCTAAAAAAGCGAGCGGGCCAGATCAAATAAGCGGGAAGATGCTCAAGCAATTGCCAAAAGGCGCCGTCCTTGCGCTAGTCCAAATAGTGAATGCTAGTATAAACGTTAGCTTCTTTCCGAACAACTGGAAAAAAGCTCACATAATAATGCTGCATAATCCCAATAAAAACCAAACGGATACTGAAAACTATCGCCCTATCAGCCTAGTATCCCAAATATCGAAGTTATTCGAGGATTTACTCCTCCCCGCTAAAAATCAAAAATTAAATGACGCCCAAGCCATCAGGGCTTCGCAATTTGTGTTTCGCAAAGGCCACTCGTCGACAATGCAAACGTTTCGACTTGCAATGGAAATTGCTTTCACACTCTCCCGTCGCCGTGAAATCGCTGCAATATTCTTCGATTTCTCCTGTGCGTTTGACAGGGTAAACCATCATATTCTTCTTCAGAAATGCCACAAATTCCTACCAACCTATCTATGCCGTCTCCTTTTTAGCTATCTTCAAAGCCGCACCTTCGTAGTTAAGTATCAAGCTCACAAATCCTCTCTTAAAAACATTCTTGCTGTTGGCCAATTGATTAAATAAATTCCAACAAAATGTATTTCGAATAATTTTGATAGTACAATTATGTTTTGAGTAATTTAAGGTCACAAGTCACTGGAAGTTTGTTGGGTGGTTGGAACAATACACACAAAATATAGCTTCCCATAGCAATAATGGTGATAGCACTGATAATCGTACTAATCATGGCAGGGAGTGCAGGATGGAGCAGGTGAGGTGTGGGGCAGGGTGAAGAGAGAGAGGGTAGAGCTGGGTGGATGGGTTGGGGCAAGGTGAAGAGGGCAGGGATGAGCTGAGTTGGGGTAGTATGAACCCTGCATGGGCAACTACCACACACATGGTTAACTTTTACCACGAGGATAAATTCCCGGCATGGGCACCTGGGCTTTTTGCCATTATTCTCAGCTTCTCACAACTGACACATGCTTTGGGCTATTGATATCTGGATCCGCACAGGAATGCAGTTCATCCTTCGAAATTGGAGATCGGATGGGTCTAGCTGCCCTGTCAGCTCAGCACTACTTTCCAGGCCAGTGCCGAATCGAACAAGCGCTAGCTCAAAAATTGGTGGCAGACAGGTCCCTCCTCTATGCTCAGAGTATCGGACCCACTGCAGACCGAAGACAAGTGCTCACTGGGGGCTTCAAGCGAAGCTGAAGGGCCTGCAGGGCCCCCAGTCTGGCCTCCCTACCCTGAAGCTATCTACGTATCACCAGAACGTAGGGTAATCTGACAAATGGGGTTCACCAGTATCCCATCTGGACTTTTATATGTTGGGAATTCGTGGATCATTCCAAAGAGTCCTTTGCCCAATCTGCAGAGGTTGAAACATGCAGGGGGCTCACTGCCTGATTCCAGGCAAAGTAGCAACACTGAGCTTAGCATCACCTATTCATTGCTCCACTTGAAGCTAACAAGGTGAATGCCGCAGTGAAACTTACGGTCTGGGGTGGCTTTACAAGTCTTCAACAGAAAACAATGCTAACAGCCCCAATGGTCATGGTTCCCCCCTTGCGGGATGAGATTATGGGACTGAGTGACGAGGGCAGGGTTAGAGTTGCTTGGGCGCGATTGGGCAGGTAAAGGGAACAGGTCGAGCTGGGCGAGTGGGATGGGGCAAGGTTGAGAATCAGGTTAAGGGATGAGGAAGTTTGAGGCAGAGCAGATCTGAGTGAGCAAAGGTAGACACGGATCATACAAACTACTAGTAGAAAGAATTCATTCCTTGTCCTTAATAAATAAATATTCAGGCAACACTGGGTACTTCATTTAGTAAAAAATATATGAAGATTGCTAAGGTTATACTGTTACATATATTGTGATACCTGCATTATGAATCACTTTCTTTACATTTTTTGAGTGGTTTACATAATTTTCCCTATGAAATTACCAATATAAGTGTACTGCTTTGAACAGTTTTAATCATTCTGCCTATGCTGAAAAATACAGCAATATCATTCATGAAACCTTCAAACTCATTTTTCTTTGGTAAGTATGATTTGAAGTTAAAGTTATTCTTCCTATCCAACTCCTCAATTACAATGAATTCATAAAGATTCTAGTTTAAAAGATTGTTTTTTTTGGATGTTTCCTATATGTTTTAAATAAATAATTTACTTTCATAGTATTAGATTTAAAACATCAAAATTTTATTTTATTGTAATTTGTAAGCAGTTTGTAAAACATTCTGGATTTATCATGAATGAGCTTCGTTTTAATTGCATTTTCTAGTGTTCCAATAATCAATTGAGCAAATAATAAAAATGATGCTGTGTTTTGCTCGGGGAAAATGAATCTATGCTTACATCCTCTGCTCAATAAGCCTTCTGATATCCCTGTCAGGTTGCTTGATGATCGCATCCCACTGCAAGGTTTTGTTGTTGTTTTTTATTTATTTTTTATTGTTCTTGACATAAAGTAAGTTTAAATATAATTTGCCAAATAAAATGTTTTCAGATTCGCTTAGTAACGAGCTTTCTTAATTGTGAGTGAGGAACTTTGAATCTCAAGGAGATGTTTTTTGTTGGCCATTATCGTGGTTTTCCAAAAGCCACTGTGCAGGTATGTTGTACATTCTTCCTGGACTTAATCAGTGGTGTTGGTAGAGTTTGTGTCACTTATTCACCATACACACACACGCACGCGCGCACGCGCCCACGCGCGCCCACGCGCGCACACACGCGCGCACACACGCGCGCACACACGCGCGCACACACGCGCGCACACACGCGCGCACACACACCATGTACCCACATCAACAACAAATTTATATTATGCAGTTGTCAATAATGTTATATTTTAAATTAACTTGTTTCTTGTTGATGTCGAAATGGTTTATATTAATTAAGAATAAAGGGAAATGTCAGTGAAAGGAAATTTAATAGCAATTCAATTTATAATCAGCTCTATTATTTCTGTAATATTGATTCATTTTCAACTCTCACATCCAAACAAACTTAACAAACGAGGTGTCAAAAGAAATATAATTTCATGGATGGGTGCCAAATTGCACCTTGATTTTATAAATGTTGAGAACACCTGTCTAAATGAACTTACAATGTACAGCAAGTGTTTTGCACACAACTTACAATACACAATCTTACAATGCAGAGTGCTTAAGATCTGCTCTTTCACATTGATCGTGTTTAACTTGAAAACAGTATATAGTACCTTGTTCTTAAAATTTGTCTTTCAAGGCCATACACCTTGAGCCATAATCTGCAAATTGAAATAGTTTGGAATCTTCTATTACATTTTTAGGGGTTCAGCTCTTGTAGCAATTCAGACTCCATGGTAAGGGTGGGATGTGCAGTATCTTGAATTGAGAGGTATGCAGTCTCTCAAATTCTGTTAAAAGTTAAAAAGTACAAACTTCCAGGGCTGGACGCCATTCATATTTGGCTGAACTGGAGATACTGAATATTAGGTGCAATTGCCAATGATTCGCCCATTATACTGTGACGTTCCTGAGGCAGGAAGGTTGTAGTATGATGGCCGAAACATTGACAACTGTGCCTGAGATGCAGGGTCTCCTAGATAGCCATGTTATTCTAACATCCCCCCCCCCCTCAAATGGTTGGGTGGGGGTGGGGGAGTTTGACCTGTGTGAGAGTTATTGCGCAGGTACACTAGTAAAAATTTAATTTAGAGGAGTAGTACCGTTTATAGGAATAATAACTCCCTAGCAATTGGTAAAATATTAATCAATTTAAATTATGTAATTATCAGTAATTTTAGGTAAGCAATTTCTCAATTAAAACATCCAAGTTTTATAATTTTATATTTAAGTTTTCAGAGGCTTGTCACTCTTAAAATGGTGAACAGTACCCTCCCCTCCCTCCCCCTTCCTAACTACACCACTGAAATTAATTTATATCTTCTTTATTAAACCTGTTATTAAATAACATCCTTTTGTTTGTTAGGCAGCAATTGGTCCTGTGGCACTTGATTTGGCAGAGAAATGGCATTCTGATGAAATTGTTCTTGGATATGCTTCATTAGTACTGACAATTGCTGTGCTCTCTATTATCATAACAGCACCATTGGGTGCTATAGGCATTTACATTGCTGGTCCTCGACTTCTTGGGAAAGTTGAGTCAGAAGCAACTCCTGAGGCTGAAAATGAGGAAGATTCAGTTTAGAGGTTTAAAAGTTTATCAGATTAGTGAATTTTTACTAAACCTGTACTTATTATTGTATTTTTGTTTCATGTTTGTTGTGTGTACTCACACAAGTTTTGTAATTTAGGGTTTTTTTGTAATTTGGTGCTTATAGAGTGATGACTCAGTCTGATGTAATTTTTTAAATAAGAATCGATTTATCAAAATATTAGAATTTTGGAAAATATCCAAGTTCTAGACAAACATTTAATGTTTTTACTTAATTTTTTGATATTTACTCTGATGATGGTTCAGAAGTGTTCTTTCTCAGGAATCATTAGCTTTTAAAGTTAATTTTTCTTATTTGATCAGTGAATGTTGTTAATTGAATTGATCACTCAATTTTTAATTTGTATGGAAAGAGAACAAAATGGTACTTATTTGTTGTGCCTTGTAATTTTAAAAATTCATATTTATAATAGGTTAAAAGGTTGGTTTTACTGTCTGTTCTTTCTATAAAATCTGGCACAGGTGCCTAAATTGGAACTCTCTATGTTGACTTTAAATTGTTTCTCTCTATGTTGATATGTTTGTAATTTTATGAATATGGTATCACCTAGTTTATATTTTTCTTGGAGCTATTATTTTCATTTGTATCATTCAGTGAACCATATCTTCTTTGTTCACATTTTGTTTCCACTTATCAACCCGAAGTTTACACCAAAGAACTGTTTCTTCTCAAAGCAGTGCATTGTCTTTTTCTTTATTCTATTTTTCTTAGTGCTTCAGCAGTGACAGCCAAATCGTGCTGTCATCCTGTGTCCTGTTTGTTTATACCGAAATTTTGCCAGACACACTCTCTGCCCCCTATGCCTGTAGTGACCCATGGGTACCTGCTCATACATGTGAAATGTTTGCACAGATTGCTGGTTCTTAATAAATTATTATTTCTAATCTAATTTCTTTTCTTCTGGAAATTAAGGAGATTTTTCCCTTTGTACTATTTAAAAAGTTTTATCTCAAGCAGACAACATTTCACATCAAATTTTATGATAAACAGGAAAAGTTTTGGTTAATTATTATTACCTTTGTTGACAATGTTTTCTTAAACAGTTTGAAATATAAATGATAAAGGGGGTGAAATTACCTGAAATCATAAACTGGAAGGAGAGGGGCAAGAGCTTCGTTATGACTTAAATTTTTGGTAGGGAAGCTCCCGATAAAATGAGCATCCACTTCTTCCAATTCAGGACTTTGAAGGGACACTAATTTTAAAATGAAGTATACTTCGGAATATTAAGAGCATCTATCATTGCTCTCTTGGATCTCTTATAAAAATCCTCCCCTTTTCTTTTCCCCCCACTATTGCCATGATGTGAGATTGGCACTGATTTGTTAGTTTGACTCTGTCAGGGAATCTAAAGTTCAACTAGTCTTGCAACAGGTTCTGCACCCTTCTATCAATTTTGCCAAACTCTGCAACATTTGCGTGCTCTCTATTTCGGAATGGAATTTTACAGGGTTAAGATGCATTTACCGTAAGTGTTGTCTGTTGCCGAATGTGGCTAATTTGAAATATTTTGGGGGAAGCAGTCATTTGCCACGGTGGCGTTCTTGCATGCGAGACGAGGCGTAGCTGGGCCGGGCACACATTGACATTACTACAATCCATCCGAACATTAAGTGTCGTTTCCTGTGTTCATGTACACTGTCATGTTCAGGTGTTCCTTGCATACTCATACACCCGCAATGCATGCATGTACTTATTACAGATATATTAATTACTTACGAACCTTTACTCATCGCATGTACTATTTACTACAAATGAATTTATGGATGTCTTTTTTTTCTCTCGCCTACAACTTACTTCTATGTCTTCTGAAACCTTATTCATTTGCAAGATTGAATAATCTTTTTAATTTTCATGAACTTGTTTTGTTGCCCACCTGTGGCTTCTTTCATATGTAATCAGAGATTATAGAGTATTAGAGAAATGTAGTGGAAATAGATGACTGGTTGTGTTTGTACAGTCAAAGTATGACATGTCTACTTAAAAGTGGAAGTCTGATTTATTAAATAATTATTAGAATATTCCTAATTGTTACTATATGTATTTAATAGAAAAAAATCATTTGAGGTGAGCATTATCTAATGTGTTCAATTGCAATGTTTTTTTGCATATAACTGAAGTTGCTTGCTTGTAAAACAAAACTTAAGATCCATTTTCAATTAACAATGTAAAAAGATGTTAGAGATATATTTGTTATGTACATGACAAGTGTTTTTGAAATAAAATAAATATTTTCAGAGCTGGTTTGTCTTATTTACACAGGAGTTGAAATACTGATATGAAAAGGACAGCATGTAAGAAATGGTCACATAGTACATTATACAATTAATTAAATTTATATTTCTTTTACTTCACTTTACAGAGAATATTGTTAATTGACCTTTTCATAAAGAAATGAAACTGTATATTCTCTGTGCCTTCTACAGGTTTTTCATTATATCATTATTGCAATAGGGAACTTTCTAAATATTCAGCATTGCTAAAAATATAAAGGTAATGTTCTTCATTTTATCATCAACCCACTTAAATAACTTCCTGGTAAATTAATAGGTTTCTGACAGAATTTAAGTCTAGATTTATTAAGAATATTATAGTTACCTCCCCCTCACTAAGTAGCTTTTCCATAAATGTTGCAAAGTGAAGAAATGCCATTTTGTACTCGCATTGGAGACATCTTTGTGGAAGCATAAATTTTCATTGTTTTGTAATATTAGGCACAGACCCTATCTGAAAAATATGTCTAATACTGTCATAAACTTACTTGAGAAGTGTTATGAGTTTACACTGGCAATGATGAATTCGTGTTGTGTTTCAGGCTTTCAGAACAATAATGTTATTTATATTTAAATTCTTTGCTTTCTCTGAAGTATAGCACAAAAGGATGCAGAGTATTCAAGACATTAATTCACTGCACTCACTGAATTACATCTTCAAGTACGAAAGAATACTTTTCTAAAAAATCACACTGGACAGAGGCGCGAAGAGGCCTCGATTGTTCACACCCTCCGCTGAACCATTTCTTTGTTCACGACTGCAGCTGGAAGGGACGCTTTGGGGATCCCCTGCCCCTTGTTTATGATCTGTAAGTGATCGCCCGCCGGGAAAACGCCGCCCCCCCCCCTCTGGAACTCGCCGACCCGTCGACCTACTGATCATTAACTTCAAGTTATGGGAAATCCCTGGCCACCGACGAAGTGACACACTACTGTGTACATGCATTTTATAAACAAATTGAGTGACAAAGGAGGAGATACTGTAACTTTCCATTGCGGTAATTTAACAAGCGTCAGGCGATTGGCCGAAATTCCTCTGCAATGTAATAACCTTAAAGCCAATGGGCAGCCGTTTTATCAAAATCTTGGAATCTTCTAGAACTTTGGGAAGTGAAAAGAGGGGATAACCGAGACGGATACTTCTTGCCAACCGCCAGGCACTTCTTGTCAGACAACTGCCCGCACCAGTACTTGATTTATTGTTAAGCCGCCGGACACTTTATTTTAGATCGCTGTGATGCGCGTTTTAAACTTCACGTTTTGTCAAACCGCTCTTTAGATGCAATCTATGCTAAACTTTCACCCACATTGGCTTTCGTAATTTGAAAATTTGAAGATCACATTGCATTTTTGAATTTACGCTACGCGGCTTACGGAATTCCGGTTCCGTAAAGTTTCTACGAGTTTGCGAACAATTTGCGAAAAAAAAACCGATACCAAAATGGACTGAATTATGAACACCCGCTGCATCGCATCTGCAAGTGAGAGCTGTGAAAGGTATTTGTGAACACGACTGCGATAAACTGTGGTGTGAGTCCCGAGACAGCTCGCCGACTTCCCGCTACCTGCTGCGGAGCCTTCGACCCAGAGGCGCCGTGGACGCTGCCGTCTTTTCAGACAATCGGGCCGCTCAGAGAAAGGACGCCAACTGCTTGGATGGGGAAAATGACCTCCACAACAACAACACGGCTGTAACATCGCAGAGCCTGCAACGTTAGCTTTAGATAGTCCCTTCAGCAATATTAAACATGGACTCTTGCAAAAATATTTTGTGTAATTCAGCAACGATTCTCAGCCACGCTTTGGCTAGAATAAAGCTCAAATGGCAGACAAATTTTCTGTAGCGTAAGCCTTAAATTTTCCTGTGTGTTAGATAACTAGGATAAGTTAAGTTTGTTTTGAGCTCAAAGAAGAATTCACTTCTGTCATGCTTCTTTTATTTTGAGTCACTTAACTTTAATTTTACCTCATTCAATAACTTCTTTCATTCTTAACATCAATGTCCACCGATTCACTCAATTCAGTGACCCACTGAATCTGAGCTAGCAGGCAGGTAAGGTAGGACGGCGAAGTCAAATATATGGAGGTGGCGCAGGCAAACGTGAAATTTTGTAGTAAACGTTTATTTTGCGTCGAATAAACTACATAAAACATTCGATCAACGATGGGTCATGTTTATGATTACTATCAAAATGTCATAAGGTCTATACTTTTTAAAGATGACATCGGAAAATGTGCTCCCATTCGGATTCAACTCTAATAGCGTGTTTATGAAACCTGAATGCGTGTCGTACAATCTTGAAGATGGCATGATTCCATTGTCGATCTTTGTTTTAGTTCTTGAATTGTTGACAATCTGCAACTTATTAGGGATGGAAGTGTATTCGTGCAGTATTCTTTTTAAGCTTCGTCGCTTAATCTTAGCGTAAGGATAATGCTGTCGTGAACGAGCGGCCGAGGATTGTGTCGATGCAGCTCGAACTGCTGGCAATTTCTCTGTGGCACATACCGTTGGAACGCATACAGAACTATTAGTATATGTACAATTCAAGTCTTTCTTTAGCGTACGTTACAATAACTTGGTTGCAACTACCCACCACAGTTACATGCTGGAGGTACCACTAGTACCTTCTCAATGTTACTGCATTTAATGTTGCATTCACCCCTAATTTTATCTTCAAAATTTCTTAATGAATTTGTACTCTGGCACACGAAACTTCAAAATTAATGTTAAAGAAAAATGAAAACATGAAAAACTGATCAAAATTACCACACTAAAATTATTCACCAATTTTCTTTCAATCTATAATTTTCCGTTGAAACTATGAACTAAGTTACATAATTTTCATGGTTTTGAAAATTAAGTTTCTAGCTTTACTGGTTGACTGGTATTTAACGTTTTGATCAAAAAAAAAAAAAAAAAAAAAAAAAAAAAAACAAAAAAAAAAAAAAAAAAAAAAAAAAAAAAAAAAAAAAAAACAAAAAAAAAAAAAAAAAAAAAAAAAAAAAAAAAAAAAGGTCCTGTCCAGTGATTTGGTTTTCTGCGGATACTCACGCTACTGGTTATTGGTGGTAAATGAATCTGCCGGACGCCCCCCCCTCGGGCGCCTGGATGACGGGACGCGCGAAGGGAGCACCGACGTCTTCTCGGATGACCTCGCCTTCGTCGGGGCTTGGTGGCGCGGCGCGAAGGCAACGCGGAGCGAGGGCTGCGCGTGACCTCGCCGACCAGGAGCTCTCGGAGCAGCGTGGGCGGGGCCTGTGGTTCGTTCCCAAGTGGCTGGCCTCCCTGGTTGGATGGTTGGACGGCAGCGCTGTCTGCGCCTCCGCCCGTCGTCAGTCCTGGGCCCCAGAGGCGGCTTGCGATGTGGTGATGATGTTTTCGGGCGGCGGCGATGCAGTAACGCGTTCACTGGCGTCCCCCAAGAAGCCAAAGAAACTGGCCCTCATGTCTACGTCGGAAAGGCACTCCTGCTTGCTCCACTATCGGAAAGACCGAGCTTGTGTTTTGCAGCTATCTCCTTAGGTTCGCGGGGTCACGTGGTTCTCCCCCGCTTTGTTTTTCGCGACTGGAGGCATGCGTCACGTAGTTTTTTACACCCAATCGCGGCGTCATTTATGACCGTCTGAGCTTTGCCAAATTCCGTTGAAAAACAAACGTCACCCGAGTTACGATATTCAATATGAAACATTGTTTGAGCAATATTCCCATGTATCGACGTGAAGTCTAATCCTACTGAACTGTTTCTAATGGCCACAAATTATATTTAGAACTCAAAAGTGAAAATCTTAGTTTAATTTTTTGCTGTGAATGGCTTTTCTTGGGGTACGTAAGAACGCAGAAAATTATATAATACTTTTTAGCATACATATACGGTAATTTTTCGATTTTCGCCCCCCAGCAAGATGGTGTCCTGCCATCTCTGTTCCTCCCAACAAAGTTAAACCTTAAATGGAACGTCCATTCAAATGAATTGAACACTAAATTAAGTTCTTTATGCTACGCTTTCAGATTTTTTTTCAAATTCAGTCAACCTACACACTGTTGTGTATATTTCGCGAATGTTCATTCTCGCTTGAAATATGGCATAATATTCTGGGGAAATACATCTTATAGTTCCCAGACTTTTAGATTACAAAAACGAATTGTACGAA